CCACCAGAGCAGGGGTTGAAGCAGCCATTGCAGCGGGCATGTGGGTGCTCGCAGTGCCCTCGCTGCCAAATAAGGCAACCCGGCCACTCTACTCCGCCGCCCACCAGCTGCTGCCCTCTCTGCTGGACTTCCAACCGCAGCACTGGGGCCTCCCTCCCTTCTCGGACTGTAAGCGTCCGCCTTTCCCCCCTTTCTGTCTCTCAAAGCTCTGCCTGCACTGCTCCTGCTCACTGAACTGAACTGCTGTGCCCCCACCAGCTGCTGCCCTCTCTGCTGGGCTTCTAATAGCAACACTAGAATGTACCCCCTTCCAAACGCAGCACTAATTCCCTCTTTCCGTCTCTCGTCCCGTTTCACCTCTACTGTTCCTGTGCGCCACTCAGCTGCTGCACCCCTCCAAATCTCTCTCAACCTTTTCCATTCCATGTATCCTCCTCCTGGTTCCTCTCCGCATACCCCCTCTGCTTCTCGCTATTTCTTCTTTCCTCCCCTCTTGCCTGCAGGGCAGCACCGCTCTCTGCCCATCACGCCCTGGTACATCAAGGGCCCGGTCATCAAGGGGTGCCCCTCTGTCCCTCTGGTCCTCTGTCCCGTTGGCACCCTATCTCCTTCCTCCTCTCTTACCTGCAGGGCAGCACCGCTCTCTGCCCATCACGCCCTGGTACATCAAGGGCCCGGTCATCAAGGGGTGCCCCTCTGTCCCTCTGGTCCTCTGTCCCGTTGGCACCCTGTCTCCTTCCTCCTCTCTTACCTGCAGGGCAGCACCGCTCTCTGCCCATCACGCCCTGGTACATCAAGGGTCCAGTCATCAAGGGATTCGGGCGCGGGTCAAAGGTCCTCGGCATTCCCACAGGTGAGTTTCTAGGGCGTTTTGAGAATTATCAAATCAGCCTGCAACTTCAAGGGCTGGGTTGTGAAGGGATTCGAACGTGGCCCCAAGGTGCTCGGCATCCACACGTGTAGTTCCCTTTTGAGGCGCCTCAAAGGTCGTCTCTCTACCCGCACAGATCCGTGGAACGTGGCCCCAAGGTGCTCGGCATCCACACGTGTAGTTCCCTTTTGAGGCGCCTCAAAGGTCGTCTCTCTACCCGCACAGATCCGTGGAACGTGGCCCCAAGGTGCTCGGCATCCACACGTGTAGTTCCCTTTTGAGGCGCCTCAAAAGTCGTCTCTCTACCCGCACAGATCCGTGGAACGTGGCCCCAAGGTGCTCGGCATCCACACGTGTAGCTCCCTTTTGATGCGCCTCAAAAGTCGTCTCTCTACCCGCACAGATCCGTGGAACGTGGCCCCAAGGTGCTCGGCATCCACACGTGTAGCTCCCTTTTGAGGCGCCTCAAAAGTCGTCTCTCTACCCGCACAGATCCGTGGAACGTGGCCCCAAGGTGCTCGGCATCCCCAAGTGTAGTTCCCTTTTGTAGTTCTGGGGAGTGTAGCCTCAAGGGAACGTCGGTAGTTCCCTTGAGTATCGACTTCTCTCGTCTTCAACCCCTGCTTGATTGTCTCTGTCGTGACAAGGTGCTCGGCATTCTTTCTATCTCACACTCTCTCTTACCCAACCTTTCAGCCTCCTGGGCGCACGTTCCCGTCTCCTCTCTGTCATCGTTTAACCTCTCAAGCTCACGCTCTCTCACCCAACCCACTTTTGGCTTTCACTGAGCATCTACCAGAGCATGTGTGCTGCATCTACCACGGTTGGGGGGGTCTCAATTCATTCCCTCTTCCCTCTCTGTTCTCCTCTGATTCACTCTCGCGCACACTCCCTCTTCTTCCCACCCTCTCTGCCAGCTAACCTCCCAGCCTCATCATTCACGGACCATCTGGCAGAGCATGTGTGCAGCATTTACCACGGGTGGGCAGTGTGTGATGAACTCAAATGCTCCCCTTTGCTGCATATCTTCCCACCCCCTCTGCCAGCCAATCTCCCAGCCTCATCATTCATGGGGCATCTAGCAGAGCATGTGCGCAGCATCTACCACGGGTGGGCAGTGTGTGATGAACTCCCTTCCCCCTTCTGTTCCGTTGCTCCTCCCATTCCCCTGCAGCCAACCTCCCAGCCTCATCATTCACGGGCCATCTAGCAGAGCACGTGTGTGGCATCTACCACGGGTGGGCAGGGCTGAAGGGCAGGGGCGTGTTTAAGATGGTGATGAGCGTGGGGTGGAACCCCTTCTTTGACAACACGCATTAGACAGTGGTGAGTACGTGCGTGCATGTGAGACTTCTGAGTCGACTCAAAAGGTGACTTCTGAGTCAGCTCAGAAGTCAACTCATAAGACCGTGGTGAGTACGTGCGTGCATGCATGCATGTGTGCATGTGTGCATGTGCATGTTGGAGCTGGCGTGTTTAAGATGGTGATCAGTATGGGTTGGAACCCCTTCTGTAACAACACACAAAGACCGCGGTGGGTCTGCGTGTGTGTGCGTGTGTGTGCATGTGCGTGCGTGTGCGTGTTGTGTGTGTGTGTGCGCGCGCGCGCACGTGCGCGCGTGCGTGTGTGTGCATGTGTGTGCCGTGCGTGTGTGTGCATGAGAGTGCATGTGTGTGCGTGTGTGCATGTGTGTGCATGTGTGTGCATGTGTGTGTGTGTGTGTGTGTGCGTGCGTGTGTGTGCGTGCGTGTGCATGCGTGTGCATGTGTGTGGATGTGTCTGGATGTGTGTGCGTGTGTGTGCATGTGTGCATGTGTGTGTGCATGTGTGTGTGCATGTGTGTGCTTGTGTGTTTGTGTGTGTGCATGTGTGTGTGTGTGTGCGTGTGTGTGCGTGTGTGTGCGTGTGTGTGTGTGTGCGTGTGTGTGCGTGTGTGTGCATGTGTATGCATGTGTGTGCATGTATACTCACCGTGTGCATAAGTGTGTGTGCACGTGTTCACCCATACCCGTTTCTCCCCCGCCGCCCACCTCTCTCCACTTTTTATCCCAGGAGCCGTGGCTGCTGCATGATTTCGGGGAGGACTTTTACGACGAGGAGCTCAGGCTGGTGGTGGTGGGATACATTCGCCCTGAGGTGAGCTGAGCAGCCATATTGATTTATAGACGTCTCAAAAGTCTGAATTCCTCCTTTACGTTAGCCGAGCAGAGCAACCTTCTGGTACTTTGCCTGCGCATTGCATTCTGTGGAGCAACTTCTAAGAAATCTTGAAAGCAAGCATCTGGACAGGAGGAGGTAGCTTTCTCATGCACTTTCTGAAACCTTCCCCTCACAGTACAACCTTCTCGGCTAACTTCCCCTCACTCCCCTCTCTCATGGCTCGCATCCACGAGGATAGGGACATCGCTGTTGCTCTTGACTCGCTCTCTTCTCCCCTTTGACCACCCCATTCTCTGCTGCTGCACGTTCCCACTGCAGGCCGACTTGCCCTCACCCCCCTCTCTCATTGCTCGCATCGCTCGCACTACTCTTGACTCGCGCTGTTCTCCCCTTTGACCACCCCATTCCCTGCTGCTGCACCTTATCCATGCAGGCTGACTTCCCCTCGCTCCCCTCGCTCATTGCTCGCATCCATGAGGACGGGGACATTGCTCGTGCTGCTCTTGACTCGGCCCCGTTTGCTTCGTTTAAAGAAGATCCTTTTCTGACGGAAAGCTGACGGCGGTCCAGTTACACTAACAGAAGGCCCTATACAAACAAGATTCATTGTTTAGTGCACGTTATCGTAACGTTGGAGGTGCGACACAGAGGTGGTTTTACCAGATGAAAGTTTATATCATTGGATGCTTCCTGGCTTGCTTGCTGGACTTTTTCAGCCTAGCAGAATCACAAACACTTGCGGTTCAAACAGCAAGGAGAACCACGCAGTGCAGTGGCAGTACTGACTCAGTACTAAGTTATCTATTAGTTAATGAACTTGATACTACCAGCATTCATAATCATTGATGCCTGACCCAAATGATTTTTGTTTTGTTTTCTTTCGTTTTTTCCCTGGCGATGCTACTGCAGATGATAGAAAATATGGAAAAGATGCTAGAGTCTCAACAGGATAGAGCTAGCTGAGAAAGAATTCGTAGGTTTTAAATCCAGAGCATGTGAGGCGTCGTTGTGACGATGTGCTGTAGTGAGGACAACAGAACTTCAGCGCTGAACGCGTCACTCGGGGTAACGTGTTCGTGTCTTTTGGTCTTCTCCGCCGCCACCTGCGGGCAGAATCTGTGCAATGCATGTCATGCCACTTTGGGACAGGAGTTGGTGTCTTCATCTTGGCTCATTCGTCTTCGCCGGTTCATCTTCGTCGCTTCATCTCCACAATTTCGCCAAGACGCATCGCCTGCTGTACCCGTCGTTTTGTCTCGCCAACCAGGTTTCGCCTTCTTCGAAAAGTTCGCGAATCACCTCCAACCGTACATACCCGCTGGTTCATCTTCAAACTGTCCAACGCGCATCGTGCAGCACAAGAGCAAAGCAGCAGGGAAACAAATGCCAAGGCAGCAGAAAAAGTAATCACAAAGCAGCAGGAAAACACTTCCGCTGCCAGTCAGCACAACACCACAATGCGCAACTGTCATCTCCTCTCATCATCGTCCGCACAAGCCTTTCTCTGCCTCGCATTTGGCAACATGCCTCGCCCTTCTCTCTTCTCGTTCCCTTCCACCAACCAGCCTGACCTCGACCCGTCGCATGCACCACATCGCGTCGCGTTGTCTTGCAACAACTGCTTCGCGCGTCGCGGCGCGGTCCGATTCCCTGCTGGCCCGAACACCCCGCAACGATTCCCCTCACAGACGTTCCCTCACACGCATACCCTCTGTACTCGGGCAAATTCGGGGCTGAGTCGATGCCCATCGCCCATTGCCAACTACAAAAGCCCAGTCGAGCTAGCCAATTCTCATCAGCAACCATCCATCAGTGAGCGAGTTTGAGAGCTTCTCAAGCCTCAGAGAACTCGAGATTCAGCCTCGAGCTTTCCCTCTCGAGCTGTCCCTTTCGAGCTTCCATCTCAACCCGCCGTGTTCCACCCTTCCATTCCAAGCTTCTCCCATCTCGGGGCGTTTCATCTCAGCCATGGCTGTCTCCCGCTTCTGCGCGCTGCTGCCCGGCGCGCTCCTCGCGCTGGTGCTCCTCTCCGCCGCGTCGCTCCCGTCCCCCGCTTCCGCCTTCCGCGGGCGGATGCTCCAGACCCCCGCGCCCGCGCCCGCGCCATCGGGAGACGAGTCCGGCGTCCTTCCCGTGGAGACCATCCCGTCCCCGTGGCCCGCCACCAACGCTTCAATGGATGCCGCCGCGATCGCCGCGACCATCGATCCGAACGTAAACGACACGTATCCTGCCGTCCTCGATCCGATCACGCAGCCGGCTCCCCCGCCGTATGTGGCGCTGAATCAGTTCATGGATCCCGCGGATATCGGATCGGCGTTGGATCAGATCGACGCGCGCGCCGTCGCGTACTCGTCTACGCTTGAGGATACGAGCCTGCCGGCTGATGCGCCGGCTGAGGTGGCGAACTGGACCAACACGCTCGCTACTGATCCCGGATACGCCTCATACCCTTACAAGAAGCCCCGGTGTGTATTCGTCCTTGTATTAGTCGTTCCATCTTGCAGATTACTCCTCGCATTGACGCTAAATTGCGCAGCTGGTTCCAAGCACTGTTGGCTCAAAACTGTGCTGAGCTGTGTTGTGCTGTGCGGTGTGGTGCGGTGCTTTCTGGTGCGTGCAGGTACCACCCGGTGTACGGGCTTGCGGTGAAGAAGCCCAACGGCAAGTGGTACACCTACATCAACAACAACCTGCAGTGGCCGGGCGTCGATGACTGGGCCACCGGCTTCAGTACGTTCACAATCCCTCCGCACACCTTTGCACACCCAGCAAACCATCGCAGACCCTTTTGCAGCACTAGTTCTTGCCGCTCTGTCCCCGCACCGTTTACCCTCTTCCCCTGTCTCCTCTCCCTCACTTTTTGCTTCTTTTCTGTTTCTGCCTCCTCTCCCCACCAGAGACCTGCCGTTTCACCCAGCCCGACCCTGTCTATGGCTTTAACTGCACTGAGGATGCGACCTGCCCCGGATGCCCCTACTGCCGCGCGCAGCAGTGCTTCTTCAACCGCCACTGGCCCACCTACCGCAACCCCCAGACTGATGGGTCTATCCCCGGGCAGATGTACTGGCAGCGTCTCATTGATGCTGCCATTAACCCTAAGAGGTATGGCGTGTGCATGAACGCCGGGACTCCCCAGGACCAGGGTTGCTTCTAGGGTGCCGGATTTGGTGGCGCGCTGGAGTGGAGAAATGGAATATGGTGCCACGATGAGCAGGAGGAACTATGGATGGAGTTAGAAGGGAGGAGGGGGAAGGAAGAAGATTATAGCGACTTGGTTGGCGGTTGGGGGAGTGCAATGTACTTTGGTGCGGGGGGTTTGTGTAATAAAAGGATTTATAATATCATTATATTTTCCATTATGGTTCTTGGAGATCTGTACGAGATTGGTCACAAAATGGGCATAAATTATAAATAGAAACAGGGTCATGAAAGGAGCCTAGGAAAGATTCTACAGAGCGATTTGAAAAGGATGTTTCAACCAACCTAAAAATAAGTTCGAAGGCGGAGGAAAACGGGTATGTAAGATAACACGAGGCCAAAATGTACCACCAACCACTCCATTGTGTTGACTCCTGCCGGCGAGCCGTCAATCCCGTCGGTGAGAGCCCGCCTAACTGCGCCCTTTGGTTCGACGCGATAGTGGAGGTATTCCCGCAGTAACCTAATTATCTTTTAGCCGACGCGGTGTTTGGCGCGCGAGATTACCGTCGTTTCCGCGCGCATTGGCAACATGTGGCGGGGGCGGAAGGCGCCTGCGGAAAAGCGCGCGAAGGAGGCGGAAAGCAGCGACGGCGAGACGGAGGCGAGTCGCGATGCGGAGAGTGACGCGGACGACAGCGGAAGTGACAGCGGAAGTGAAGACGGGAGTAACGGGAACGAGATAGTAGACGGGGATAAGGGGAATAAACAGCGCGCGAGAGTGGCCCGGGACGAGGAACCGTCCAATGGGAAGCGCGGGTTAGACGCCAGTGATGCAGCGACACGTGGCAAGAATTCCAGCCCCAGCGCGGTGCGGCTGCCTTGGCTGACGTGGCTTGCTCTGACTGGCTCGTATCTCGTGGCGCTGATTCTCGCCTTCAGTGTTCTCCGCGCAACCCTCCCCGCGCATAAGGACCCGCTCGCCCCGTGCAAAATCCCGCCTTCCGCCAATGCGGAAAGTTTTGAGACGACTTCCGCTAACGCCTCCGCAATTTCCGCCGCTGCTGACGGGAGCGAACTGGCGAACGCGACGCGATGGACTAATGCCACGTGTCCTGTCCCGTGGCACCCAGCCGTGGACGCGCTGACGTGGCGGTGGTCCCCGCTAGCGGCGGCGGCGGCCGTGCTAGGGTTCATGATCTGCGCGCTGCGCGCATTGGGGAGCGAATTGGCGGAACTTAACGCGCTGGAGGAGCGCCTCCGCGCACTAGAAGGGGGAGGGGGCGGGCGCGGGGGAAGGCTGGGGAAAGGCGGAGCGGAGGGGGAAGAGGGCGGAAGCGGACGGGGGAGGGGTGCGGAGGGGATTGGAGGGGTGTCAGGTTCGGATGGAGGTTCGGAGGGAGGTTCGGACGGAAGGGCGGTGGTGACAGCTGGCAGCAAGCTGGCGGTATCGGTGGGGCGAAGCTCTCTGTTGGGGATTCTGGTGCACGAAATAAGAGCACCGCTTAGAGGTAAGTTCTAATTTCTATTCCACTTAAAATCCTCACTCTTGGGAATTCTGGTGCATGAGATTAGAGCGCCGCTTAGAGGTAAGTGTTATTTTCTATTCCACTTAAATTTCTCTATTTTGGGGATTCTGGTGCAAGAGGTAAGAGCGCCACTTAGAGGTTAGTAACAATGATTGTTGAGTCGACTAAAATATGTGTTATCTTGGGGATAATGGTGCATGAGATGAGATAAGAGCTCCACTCAGAGGTAAGAAGGAATTTCACTGAGAGCGGCTTTTAATGGTAACTGGTGCACTTAGAGGCAGTAAAAGCGGCTTTGTATGACAAGACACTAGCCACATATTAGATCAGATCGTACCATGTCATATCAGATCAGATCGTATCTATCATGTCAGATCGGTTTAAAACGTCTGCGTCAGCTGCTCCTCTCCTCCTCCCTTTCCCCCTCTAACTCACTCACACACTCGCTCTCCCTCTCCGTCCCACTCCCCTTCCCCCTCTCCCTCCCTCCCCCTCTATCCAGTTGTCCTGGGTCTGGTCCTCTCCCTCAACTTCACTCCCCTCTTTCCTCACCCCCCCACAAACTTGCTCTTTCGCACTCACTCTCTTTCTTCCTCTCCCCTCTCTCCACTCCAGGCATGCTGGGTCTGCTGCAGCTGCTCCTCTTCTCCTCCCTACACACACTCACTATTTCACACTCACTCTCTCCCTCTCTTTCTCTCTCCAGGCGTGCTGGGTCTGCTGCAGCTGCTCCTCTCCTCCTCCCTCGACGAATCGCAGCGCGACATGCTAGCAGCCATCCAGGCTACGGCGCGCCACGTCATCCACGTCGCCAACAACGTCGTCGACAGCTGGCGCATCGAGAACCGTCGGATCGCCGCCGCCTCGTCCGCAGCCGCCTCCTCAGCCGCCGCCGCCGTTTTCCGTGGGGAACGAGGGGGAGGGGGAGGCGGGGGAGGGGGAGGCGCGGGGGGAAGCGCGGGGGGAGGCAGGGCAGGGGCGGTGGAGAGGGGGAGTGTGGTGCGGTTGGGGTTAGAGAGCGCGGTGTTTGACCTGCGGTGTGTTGTGGATGAGGTGGTGCTGCTGGTGGCGGGCGAGGCGAGGGAGAAGGGCGTTGAGCTGGCAGCGCTGGTCATGGATTCAGTGCCTACAGTGGTCGTTGGGGATCCTCTCAGGCTGCGCCAGGTGAGTTGTGGGTTAGCTTGCTCAGGGTCCCCTCCTCTCGTCAGCGGGCGAGGCGAGGGAGAAGGGCGTCGAGCTGGCAGCAGATTTTCTCAAAAGTGAAATCCACATAGGACTCTGTGTACTGTAGTGGTGGGGGACCCGCTCCGCTGAGGCTGTGCCACTGCCACAGTGCCACGTGGCTTGTGGATTGCTGCTTGCAGCGCTTCTCTCAGCTGGCTTCTCTCACCCGCTTCCGCTAAGCTGGCTTCACTGGTTACGGGCTATGCTGCTTCACTGCCTCTCCGCGCTTCATTGCGGACCCGCTCCTCCTCGCGATCCAATGTCCCTGAGAACCTTTCTTCCCATCCCACTCCCCCCACCCCACCCGCCCTCTCCCCTCCCATCAGATTCTCGCCAACCTCATGGCAGTGGCCGTGCGTCTCACCGACCGCAGCCACGTGTTCCATCTGGCCCTCTAATCGCTCTCCATCTCTCTCCATCTCTCTCCATCTTTCCCACCTATCCCCCCCGTCAGATCCTCGCGAATCTTATGGCAGTGGGAGTGCGACTCTCCGACCGCGGTCACGTGTTTCTGGTGGTGCGCCTGGCGCCGGATGATGACGAGATGAGACGCATGGCGGATCCCAACTCGCCTGGCGACATGGAAGGTGCGTTGAATTGCACTGAGTTGAATGGCGTGCCTGCCGCTCTTGTCTCGTGTTCCTGGTGGTGCGCCTGGCGCCGGATGATGATGAGATGCGGCGCATGGCGGATCCGAATTCCGCTGACGATACGGAAGGTGATTGTAGTGTAGTGCCTGCCAGGTGGTTGGTGTGGCATGTTCTTTCCTGGTGGTGCGCCTGGCACCGGATGACGATACGAATTCAACTGACGACATGGAAGGTGCGTTGAGTTGAATGGCTGGAGGTCACATGTGCAGTGCAGTGCAGGCATGCATTCTTGTGTCTTGTATTCCTGGTGGTTCGCCTGGCGCCAGACGACGATGAGATGCGGCGCATGGCGGGTCCGAACTCCTCTGATGATATGGAAGGTGCGTGCATTGAGGATGGCACATTCACACCACACCACACCACATATGTGAGTGAGACACCCACGTGTTCCTTCCTGGTGGTGCCCCTGCCGCCCGATGATGTTCAGATGAGGCGCGCGCATGGCAGACAGACAGACCCGAACTCGCCCGGCGAAATGGAAGGTGCGTTGAGTGTTGGGAAGGAGGTCCAAACTGGCGCAGTGCGTTGAGTGTTGGGAAGGAGGTCCAAACTGGCGCAGTGCGTTGAGTGTTGGGAAGGAGGTTTAAACTGGCGCAGTGCGTTGAGTGTTGGGAAGGAGGTCCAAACTGGCGCAGTGCGTTGAGTGTTGGGAAGGAGGTCCAAACTGGCGCAGTGCGTTGAGTGTTGGGAAGGAGGTCCAAACTGGCGCAGTGCGTTGAGTGTTGGGAAGGAGGTCCAAACTGGCGCAGTGCGTTGAGTGTTGGGAAGGAGGTCCAAACTGGCGCAGTGCGTTGAGTGTTGGGAAGGAGGTCCAAACTGGCGCAGTGCGTTGAGTGTTGGGAAGGAGGTCCAAACTGGCGCAGTGCGTTGAGTGTTGGGAAGGAGGTCCAAACTGGCGCAGTGCGTTGAGTGTTGGGAAGGAGGTCCAAACTGGCGCAGTGCGTTGAGTGTTGGGAAGGAGGTCCAAACTGGCGCAGTGCGTTGAGTGTTGGGAAGGAGGTCCAAACTGGCGCAGTGCGTTGAGTGTTGGGAAGGAGGTCCAAACTGGCGCAGTGCGTTGAGTGTTGGGAAGGAGGTCCAAACTGGCGCAGTGCGTTGAGTGTTGGGAAGGAGGTCCAAACTGGCGCAGTGCGTTGAGTGTTGGGAAGGAGGTCCAAACTGGCGCAGTGCGTTGAGTGTTGGGAAGGAGGTCCAAACTGGCGCAGTGCGTTGAGTGTTGGGAAGGAGGTCCAAACTGGCGCAGTGCGTTGAGTGTTGGGAAGGAGGTCCAAACTGGCGCAGTGCGTTGAGTGTTGGGAAGGAGGTCCAAACTGGCGCAGTGCGTTGAGTGTTGGGAAGGAGGTCCAAACTGGCGCAGTGCGTTGAGTGTTGGGAAGGAGGTCCAAACTGGCGCAGTGCGTTGAGTGTTGGGAAGGAGGTCCAAACTGGCGCAGTGCGTTGAGTGTTGGGAAGGAGGTCCAAACTGGCGCAGTGCGTTGAGTGTTGGGAAGGAGGTCCAAACTGGCGCAGTGCGTTGAGTGTTGGGAAGGAGGTCCAAACTGGCGCAGTGCGTTGAGTGTTGGGAAGGAGGTCCAAACTGGCGCAGTGCGTTGAGTGTTTGGAAGGAGGTCCAAACTGGCGCAGTGCGTTGAGTGTTGGGAAGGAGGTCCAAACTGGCGCAGTGCGTTGAGTGTTTGGAAGGAGGTCCAAACTGGCGCAGTGCGTTGAGTGTTTGGAAGGAGGTCTATACGTGAACCTTATCAGCGCCAGGCTCTCCTCCTTGTTCCTTTCTCATTCCCCGTGGTGCGCCTCCCCCCGTTAGGCTCAACTCAACATTCCTGCCTGCCGCACTCCCTCTCCCCGCCTCACCAGCCCCCAGCAGGGAGGCACAGGCAGTAGAAGCGGAGAGAATTGCTCGAGGCCGTGCGAGCCAGGCCAAAGGGGAGAGCCTGACGCTGAGCGGGCGAGCAGCAGCGGACGGCAGCAACAGCTGGGAGAGCATCTGCCGCATGATCCGCGAGCAGGAGGCACGGTTCAAGTTTAGTCTTACCACCCACTCATAACCCTCCATCCCCTCCCAACCCCTCCGCACCTCTCCCCACCCCTTCCTTCCGCTGCCTCCCAGCCCCCAGCAGGGAGGCCCAGGCAGTTGAGGCAGAGCGAATAGCCCGAGGGCGAGCAAGCCAGGCGAAGGGGGAGAGCCTGACGCTGAGCGGGCGAGCAGCAGCGGACGGCAGCAACAGCTGGGAGAGCATCTGCCGCATGATCCCGTACACACGCTATTCCCCTTCATCTCCTTCTAACCCCTCTGCATTCGTCCGCACCCCTCCCCTTCCCCCCTCCCCTTCCCCCTTCTCCAGCCCCCAGCCGTGAGGCCCAGGCAGTTGAGGCAGAGCGAATAGCCCGAGGGCGAGCAAGCCAGGCCAAAGGGGAGAGCCTGACTTTGAGCGGGCGAGCAGCAGCGGACGGCAGCAACAGCTGGGAGAGCATCTGCCGCATGATCCCGTACACACGCTATTCCCCTTCATCTCCTTCTAACCCCTCTGCATTCGTCCGCACCCCTCCCCTTCCCCCCTCCCCTTCCCCCTTCTCCAGCCCCCAGCCGTGAGGCCCAGGCAGTTGAGGCAGAGCGAATAGCCCGAGGGCGAGCAAGCCAGGCGAAGGGGGAGAGCCTGACGCTGAGCGGGCGAGCAGCAGCGGACTGCAGCAACAGCTGGGAGAGCATCTGCCGCATGATCCGCGAGCAGGAGGCACGGTTCCGCCGCCTCATGGGGCCCCAGCAGCAGGGGGGGGGAGGGGGAGATGGGGGGAGGGCAGGCGGAGGGGGGGCTGGTGGGGGAGGGGAGAGAGGCGGAGGAGGCGGAGGAAGGGGAGGGACAGGAGGGGGGTCGGGAGCGGTTGGGAGTGGTGGTGGTGGGCGAGGGGGAGTGAGGCTGATGTGCACGTTGGAGGACACGGGGGTGGGACTGCCTGATGCCGTCTTTGACGCTCTGGAGAAACCCTTCCAGCCGCTCTCCCTGCCGCTGCAGCAGCGCTTCGCCGCCGTCCCCCTGTTGCTGAACGTCGCTCAGAAGTAAGCCCCTCCCCTCTTCTGTCTTGTATTGTGTGTGCTTGCCTTGTCCACGGCACCTCAAATGAGGGGTAGGGAATGGTGGGGAGGGGTGCACGAGAGGGTGAATGAGGGGGAGTGAGGCTGATGTGCACGTTGGAGGACACGGGGGTGGGACTGCCTGATGCTGTCTTTGATGCTCTCGAGAAACCCTTCCAGGTCGATTTCGATAGTTCTCAAACCCTTTGCCATTTGCCCCCTTCGCCAATCCCTTCTCCCATTCCCCCCCTCCTATTCCAGTCTGGTGGTGCAAGCCATGCACGGTCAGCTGCTCGTCTACAGCCGTCCAGGAATCCGCACCACATTCACCTTTGATCTCTCGCTCGCACAGCCGCCCTCCCATCTCTCTCATCCTCTCCCCCCCCTCACTCCCCTCCCCACCAGTCTGGTACAAGCCATGTACGGTCAGCTGCTAGTCTACAGCCGGCCCGGAATCGACACCACATTCACCTTTGATCAATCGCTCGCACAGCCGCCCAACCTTCTCTCCCATGCCTACTGTCTCTCCTCGTCCATTCCCTTTTCCCGTGATCCAGCCTAGTCCAAGCCATGCACGGTCAACTGCTCGTCTACAGCCGTCCCGGCATCGGCACCACATTCACCTTTGATCTCTCGCTTGCACAGCCGCCCACGGGGCCGGCCTCTAGCCTGCTGCCACGTGTCTTCCACGCGGGATTCGGGCCAATCCCGGACGAGCAGCAGGCGGAGAGCCTGGCGCTGCGGGGCAAGCTGAGAGGGCTGAGATGCCTGGCTGTTGACGGGAGACCCGTGAGACAACAGGTGGGTTCTAGTTGGCTCTATTATTGTGGTGGGAGTGAATAGAGATCTGAATGGAGAGAATAAATAGCAGCAGGCGGAGAGCCTTGCGCTGCGAGGAAAGCTGCGGGGGCTGCGATGCCTAGCAGTTGACGGTAGACCCGTGAGGCAACAGGTGGGTTGTGCGTGTAATTGTGTAGTGGGGAGTGGAGGGTAGAGAGGGAATGGACGAGCAGCAGGCGGAGAGCTTGGCACTGCGGGGCAAGCTGCGGGGGCTGCGATGCCTGGCTGTTGATGGGAGGCCCGTGAGGCAGCAGGTGAGTTCAACGTGTTTGAAGAAGTGTTTTGAGACGTCTCAAAACACTTCTTCAAACACGCAGCAGGTGTGTTCAAAGTGTGTTAGTGTGGTGAAGAGTGAAGGGAAGGTAATGGAATGGATGAATAGCAGCAGGCGGAGAGCCTGGAGCTGCGGGGCAAGCTGAGGGGGCTGAGATGCCTGGCTGTGGATGGGAGACCCGTGAGGCAGCAGGTGGGTTTTCGTTTCTCCCTTCACTCTAGTTATCGTAGGTGGGACGGGAGGGAGTGGAACGGGAGGCCAGTGGGGCAGGGAGCTGAGGAGCAAACCCAGAGGGGCTGCGATGCTTGGCTGTTGAGGTGAGGACGAATGGCTAGTGAGGCAGCAGGTGGGTTGTGAGTTTGTCTGAGGCCGCGGGTAGGAGGAATGAGCTCAGACAAACTCGCTTGCTCAAAAGACGCGCAGGAGATAGAGTGTGGCTCTTTTGAGGCCAGGCTCAATCAACCCACATGCGCAGCTCGCTTGGGCTTCGATTCATTCAAGGTCAGCGTTTCAAGAAGTATCTCTGTGCCGCTGTCCTTCATTCTCCCATCCCCTCTCCTATGTTCTTCCCCGCATTCCCCCAACCCTCCTACTTCTCCCTTCCCCTCACCTGCAACGTGCATGGCTCGTCCGGGCCTGAAGGTGGATCTCTCAGACAGCGTCTCTGCTGTTGCTTTGGCGCCCAGCACTCGTCCCTCACACCACCGCTTTCCTACTCCCCCTCTATCCATTCCTCTCCCCCCTAAAACCAGGTGCTCACCACATGCATGGCCCGCCTGGGGCTAAAAGTGGATCTATCAGACAGCGTCTCTGCTGCCGCACTGGCAGTCAATCAACACTAATACATCCCTACCCTGCTTTAACCCTTCCCCCGCCCTCCTTGTCGCCACGATCGCAACACCACCACCAGGTGCTCGCCACATGCATGGCTCGCCTGGGTCTAGAGGTCGATCTTTCAGACAGCGTCTCTGCTGCTGCGCTGGCGCTCAGGCACGATGTCACCTCTCCTGCTGCTCCTGCTGCTGGTGCTGGTGAGTGTGGTGCGGTGCAGTGTGGTGGATTGTGGTATGCTTGTTCTATGATTGGAAGCGTCTCTGCTGCTGCCTTGGCACTCAGGCACGATGTCACCTCGGCTGCTGCTCCTGCTGCTGGTGCTGGTGAGTGTGGTGCGGTGCAGTGCGGTGCAATGTGATATGTTCTATGATTGAAAGCGTCTCTGCTGCTGCCTTGGCGCTCAGGCACGATGTCACCTCTGCGGCTGCCCCTGCTGCTGGTACTGGTGAGTGTGGTGCGGTGCTATGCGGTGCGCTGTGGTAAGTAGTTTGTTTGAATGGAAGTGCCTCTGCTGCTGTCCGTCACCCCTCAATAATCTCTTCTCGTTCTCCCCCCTCCTCCACTTTCATCCGGTTACCACAGGCATGGCTATAGCCTCTCCTCCCAAGAGCTGGTGGAATGGGATGGTGGTTGATCTGGACAGCGATTGTTTTTTGAGAATTCAAAAAAAACATGGCTATAGCCTCTCCTCCCAAGAGCTGGTGGGAAGGATGGTGGTCGATTTGGACAGCGATGGCCCCTCCACAGGGCTGGCATTGGGGCGCACGGTGCTGCGCGTCTCTTCCTAACTGCATCTCTCTGCTCCCTGCATCTCTCTGCTCCCCTCCCCTCCCCCAGGCATCGCAGCAGCCTCTCAACGCAAGAGCCGGTGGGATGTGGTGGTGGTCGATTTGGACAGTGACGGCCCTTCCACAGGCCTTGCATTAGGCCGCATGGTGCTGCAGCTGAGGGACCTGGAGGCACAGCATCGCGCCATGGACCCTGTAGCCATCACGCAATCGCTGGCCTCGCTGGGCTGGGAGCAGCACTCCAATCTTCCCCTTCTGGTTCTTGTCGCCAAGGTAAGAAAGAAGCAGTGCTTGCTGGCTATGTTGGAAAAGTCGCCAGACTGGGCATGCGTACAGCGTATATACGTAGACGAATATACGCTGTACGCAATACGCACGTACATTCGTTCGGAAAAATCTGGGCTGCCCGGCCAAAAAAGAAAAAGAAAAAGTTCACGCACGAAATTGGAAAATGCGTCGCGACACACATTGTGCGCACGAATTTTGCAAATGCGACGTCAAATTGTTCGCAACATCAAAATTCGTCGACCCCACCAACACACAAATTTGGCAAGGGGGAATTCAAATCAACCGCATTGCACCGTCCGTTACCCCGCAACTCCAACTCAGCTACACAAATGTTTCCAACCAGCCTACCTCAACTCTCATCGAGGACAAAAAGGTAACCCTAAAACATCTCATCAGCCACGTCGTAATTCTCTTTCTCTAGTTCTCTCGATCGCCTCGCAGCTCTACGATGACGCCCCCTACTAGCACTGGCACTCCCGCGAGTGCAACTAATGAGGTTCCTAGTCCCGCCTGACCGGAAAAAAGTTTTACCTGCCCGGGCAGCGTATTTTTCACGTATTCTTGAGTCACCCATTCAGCGCATCCCGCATTATACGTAAGCGTATATACGCTTGCGTATAATACGCTGGGCGCGACTTTTCCAACATAGCTTGCTGGGCTGGGCACCTGAAACACCTTGTAGGTCAACAGGCGGGGCAGTGCTCACAAGGCGTTGGGTCGCATGGTGCTGCAGCTGAGGGACCTGGAGGCACAGCATCGTGCCACCGACCCTGTTGCCATCACGCAGTCACTCGCCTCCCTTGGCTGGGAGCAGCACTCCAACCCCCCCCTGCTCGTGCTCGTGGCCAAGGTAAGAAAGAACCAGTGCTTGCAGGGCTGGGCGCGTAAAGCTCCTTGTAGGTCCAACAGGCTTGGCAGTGCCCACAAGGCGTTGGGCTGCATGGTGCTGCAGCTGAGAGACCTGGAGGCACAGCATCGTGCCACGGACCCCGTTGCCATCACCCAATCACTCGCCTCCCTTGGCTGGGAGCAGCACTCCAACCTTCCTCTTCTTGTGCTCGTTGCAAAGGTGCGAGAGAGAGAGAGCGCTTGCTGTGGTATCAGTCCTTAATCACCTCACAACATCGCGCCACCGACCCAGTCGCTCGCTCGCCTCCCTTGGTTGGGAGCAGCACTCCAACCTGCCCCTGCTCGTGCTCGTGGCCAAGGTGAGACACATCAGCTCGTGGAACAGCGGTCCAGTTTAGCGACCACATCACCCCCCCACTCACCCAGTCCCTTGCATCACTGGGCTGGGAGCAGCACTCCAACCTGCCCCTGCTCGTGCCCGTGGCCAAGGTGAATCTGTTATTTTATCAACTCTCAAAGAACAGTGTCGCCATGGTGAGACACAGCGCTTGCTCGTGAGAATGTTAAACCGACTGGTAATTGCAACGTTCCCCCTTCTCCCGTTTCTCCCCGATGGCCGCCTCTTTCACCCCTTCACTCACAGACTGTAACGAGGCTCGTTTGAGGCGCCTCAAAGTCAACCCCTTACCTTCTTCCCCTGCCTTCTGTCATCTAAGGGACTCTAACGAGGCGCTGAGGGAGGAAGCACAGAAGCTGGGCTTTGCTTTTGAAAATTCTCAAAAGTGATTCAAATATAGCATCATGGTGAAACCACTGAGGGCTGGTTGCTGCGAACACTCCCAACCGCTGCTTCCTTCCTCTCTTCCTTGCTCACCAGAACAACCCCTTACCTTCCCCCCCGGCCTTTTCTCACTCGCAGGACTCCAATGAGGCGCTGAGGGAGGAGGCGCAGAAGCTGGGTGCTCTCCCCATAGCGTGCTTGAAGCTATAAACCAGACCAGAACAACACAACACCCTACCTCTTCCCCTCTCCCTTTCACTCACAGGACTCCAATGAGGCGCTGAGGGAGGAAGCGCAGAAGCTGGGTGCTCTCCCCATAGCGTGCTTGAAGCTATAAACCAGACCAGAACAACACAACACCCTACCTCTTCCCCTCTCCCTTTTACTCACAGGACTCCAATGAGGCGCTGAGGGAGGAGGCGCAGAAGCTGGGATTCGCAGGCATCATCGTGAAACCACTCAGGGCTGCCGACATGGCCACCACACTGCTTGAAGTAAGGTCCCTCGCTCGCTCATAATCTCCTTCGGTGCCCGGTTGAGAAGGAAGGAGGACCATGGTATACTAGCCACCTCGTTTCTTTGCAGGCATCATCGTGAAACCACTCAGGGCTGCTGACATGGCCACCACGCTTCTTGAGGTAAGGTAAGGTCCTTCACTCGCTTGTAATCTTCTTTGGTGCCCAAATGACAAGGAAGGAGGACCATGGCATCCCAAGGAACCTCGTTGCTTGCAGGCATCATCGTGAAACCACTCAGGGCTGCCGACATGACCACCACCACTCTGCTTGAAGTAAGCCCTTCCTTTGTAATCTTTCACATACTGCTAATTAGGCGCCTCAAAAGTTGCCTCAAAAGGCGCCTCAAAAGACATGAAACACCACACTGCTTGAAGTAAGCCCTTCCTTTGTAATCTTTCACATACTGCTAATTAGGCGCCTCAAAAATTGCCTCAAAAGGCGCCTCAAAAGACATGGCCACCACACTGCTTGAAGTAAGCCCTTCCTTTGTAATCTTTCACATACTGCTAATTAGGCGCCTCAAAAGTTGCCTCAAAAGGCGCCTCAAAAGACATGGCCACCACACTGCTTGAAGTAAGCCCTTCCTTTGTAATCTTTCACATACTGCTAATTAGGCGCCTCAAAAGTTGCCTCAAAAGGCGCCTCAAAAGACATGGCCACCACACTGCTTGAAGTAAGCCCTGCCCTTCCTTTGTAATCTTTCACATACTGCTGCCACATCAGGGCGCAATGTTGGCCTCGTTATCACTTTCCTCCAGTTCCTTCCCGTCCTGCATGGTGTCTCCTTTTGCGCTCTCCATGCCCTCTCCCTTGGCTTTAACCCGCGCGACACCAGCGCCACGGTACTCATGCTTTCGCACCTTCCTCTCAACACCATCAATTAGAAACGCCTCCTCCCCCCCCCCCCCCCCTCCCAAACGTTCCCCCAGGCACTCTCCCCCAACCCCCTCGACACCAGCGCCACGGTACCCATGCTTTCCCACCTTCCACTTACCACCATCAGTCAACAAGCACTGCCCGTCCTCTTCCCTCCATCCTTCCTGCCAGGCGCTCTCCTTCAACCCGCGCGACACCAGCGCCACGGCAGCCAGGCGGCGTCAGATTCTGCTGCGCTTATGCCTCAAGGGCAAACACGTGATGGTGGGTGATGGTGGGTGATGGTGAGTGATGGTGCACGTGATGGTGGGTGGGCTGTGATGTGATGTGTGAGAATGAGTGCTGCTGATGCTTGTGTATCAGATTCTGCTGCACCTCTGCCTTTAGGGCAAACATGTGATGGTGGGTGTGTGATGTGATGTGATGTGATGTGATGTGATGTGATGTGATGTGATGTGATGTGATGTGATGTGATGTGGTGTGGTGTGGTGTGGTGTGATGTGGTGTGGTGTGGTGTGGTGTGCTGTGATGTGATGTGATGTGGTGTGATGTGGTGTGATGCGATGCGATGCGATGCGATGCGATGCGATGCGATGCGATGCGATGTGATGTGATGCGATGCGATGCGATGCGATGCGATGCGATGCGATGCGATGCGATGCGATGTGATGTGATGTGATGTGATGTGATGGTGGTGTGTGATGTATGCATGTGTACCGCGCGACACCAGCGCCACGGCAGCAAGACGGCGCCAGATCCTGCTGCGCCTGTGCCTCAAGAGCAAGCACGAGTGGGTTGGTGGTGATTTGTGCAACATGATGGTGTGATGTTGTGCGTGAGTTAGTGTATAAGATTCCTGCGCCTGCGCCTCATGCTTCTCCTCCTCCCTCCCTTCCCCGTCTCCCTCCCAGATAGTGGATCACAACTTCATCAGTCGCAAGGCCGTGGCAGTCATGCTCTCCCGCTTCGCCGATGTGGCCCTCGCTCTCGGCTCTGCTAGCGAAGCCCTCGCGCGCCTGCATGCTGCCCCCTCCCTCGCACTCTCTCAGGGGCAAGGGCAGGGGGAGGGGCAGGGGGAAGGGCAGGGGCAGGCGCAGGCGCTGGGGCAGATCCGTGGCTCGGAGTTTCACCTGGTGCTTGTCAACCTGCGCCTTGCTGACATGTCCGGGTACGATTGGCTTGCTGGCGTGTCAGGGCTCGATTGACTTGCTGAGATGTCAGTCTGCGTGTTCATGTGTCAGGGTACGATATACTTACTGTTCCACCCCGGCACCCTGTCTGCAATCTCATGCCTTGCCTTCTTTTCCAGCTGCCCGTTTGCAACAAATCTAACCTAACCTCCACTTCCTTCAGTCGCCCTGTCAGCAATTCCACATCCCCATCCCACCCTTCTCTGTCCCTCTGGCATACCCGACCATCTGCAGCTTTGCATTCACACAGGCTGTAAGGCGCATTGAGGAGCAGCGCTATAACGAGGATGTGGTGCGCATGGGGAGTGCGGCTCAGCACTCGCACATCCCCATCGTGGGACTGGTCAATGACGCCCTGCCTGAACTGGTGGCCAAGTGAGTGGGAAAAGTAGAGAGGAGGGGATCTTTCAGTCGACTCAATGATCAGTGCTGCTTTTGAGTGGACTAGCCAATCAGTGCGGCTCAGCACTCGCACATCCCCATCGCGGGACTGGTCAACGATGCCCTGCCTGAACTCGTGGCCAAGTGAGTGGGAAAAGCGGGGAGGTGGGGTAAGGGCGAGACAGGGAGTGTGACTGAGGGGGAGCCAGAGATTATAAAAGGGTTGAGCTGGGGCAAGGAAATATTTTGTGGGACATGGAGCGGCATTATTCAAGTTGTTTTTTATTCTTCATACCGTATATTATATCCATGTGAACCTTCATGTGCTTGCAGGTGGAAAGAGGCAGGTATGGATGGGATGCTCTCAAACCCCATTGACGAGGCTCAACTGCTAACTGTGGTTACGAAGCTATTTAAGCCTGCTGATTCGCATGCATAAACATTGGCCTGCCAAATTCTTGTGACTATTGGTCAACTTGCTGTATCTTTCATTGCTCAAATCTCACATCATCATGTTATGCTAAAAGAATTATATATAACAAATTGTTGGAGTGTGTTACAGTTCACTAAAAAGGCTCTAGTCGGTTGTTCATAAATTTGAATTTTGAACACGGGCACGATCCAGTCATTCCACGATTCCGAGGTTTGGTTTTGATTGGTGGCACGGAAGCGTCAGCGCGACGACCACCCCAAGGCTCCATCATCCCCAGGCTCCAAGTTTTCAGGGCTAGCTAATCTGACGGCGGACATACAAGGGTCAGTGATCCAACGGACGGAGCTAATGAATCACCACACACCAAACCAAGACTTGCTCTCGATTTTTTCCTAATTTCTCGTTCTCCCGCCATCCCCAAGCTTCCCTCCCAACTCTGCTTGTAGAGCCTTTGCGAGCATCCGCAACATCTGACTGAGCCATACCTTACTCGTGCATTCTCATGTCACTCCTTTTCAACTTAGCTTACTGATCTATCATTGACGGTCCCATTGCTGCGTGATTTCGCGCGGCCAAGTCCGATTGTTTGGCGGTGGAAGGAGAAGCGGAGCAATGGACGTGGACGAAGTGATAGAAGTCGAGGAAGTTGTGACTATATCGACGGGCAAGCAGTCGAAGGCGACGAATGGCCGCCAAGTAGCTGGAACGAACGGAAATCGAACGCGACAGGCGAAGGCGATGAATCGATGCAGTGTGACTAAGTCGAAGGGAGGAAGCAAGAGTGTGAAGGAAGAGAATGTGACTGAACCGAAGGCCCAGGGTCGCGGCAGCAGGCGCGCCAAGGCTGAGGATGATGCCGTCGAAGAGAAGAGCGACGTGAAACGCGAGAAGGAAAACGGCGTTGTAAATGGAAAGGGCGGCGGCAAACGTTTAAAGGAGAGCACCGCGGTCGAAGAAAACGGCGTCGTGAAATGCGTAACAGAAAACGGCGAGGTGGGAGAAAAGGGCTCGGGCAAACGATCAAAGGAGGCCGGCGCAACTGAAGAGAAGTCACGCACGAAGCGCGCCAAGGTGAACAACGGCCGCAGCGTCAGCCGCGTGGAGGCTCCACGTCAGCCCAAGGCAGAGAAAGGGGGAAAGAAGAAGCCTCCACTTCATCCCAAGGAAGAGAAAGAGGCGAGTGGGAAGCCTTCAGGCCAGCTCAAGGGAACGGAAAAAGAGGCGAAGAAGGCGCCTGGGAAGGCGAGGAAGCGAGGCAAGGCGCCAGCGATCGACGACGACATGATTCAAGTGAAGCAGGCTCCGCTCGCTGACTCAGGTGCGATGCAAGCTCTGCTCGTGGATTCAAGTTTGACATAGACTTCGCTGACAGGCAGACGTACCCATTACTGACTTTGCGTCTAGCTAACCGTTTGTATCCAGTAAGCACCCGCATTTCCTCTCATGGTAGCTTACCAAGTCATCACTGTATCGCCACTCTATCCTCACTTGCGCAAACTGCCTCTGTCCTCCGTCCGATCTGTGCAGAGGAAGTCGCGATCGTGCTCACGCACCCGTCGGATCCAGCAGCCGCTGCTGCGGCAGCGGCGGCGGAGAAGGGGCCAGTGCGGCAGCTGCTGGACTTCGTGTTTCACGACTCGGAGGGCGCGCTCGTGCCGCTCGACAGCTTCGACGCGCTGGCGGCGCGCGGGGAGGGGCTCTTCGCGACGGGCGTCATTCTTCCCGAGACCGCCGCGCTGCGCCATATGGCGGTAAGATGAGTGTCTACCGAGCTGTACGATACCGATTTTGCTACACGTGAGGCGCCTAAGAATATTGATCGTTGCCAGACTGCTGCCCCGGACCATATACAAGTGCGATGAATCTCTGTAGCTTTGAATTGTTCCGAGATGGTGTGCTCAGAACTGTATAAGCAGTGCCCGAACAATCTGTGTAGCTTGCCCTTTCCACTGATGCTGTACCGATATGTAAATGGGACATATATTGACCTGACGCAGCTGTTTTCATACCTCTTGCTCCGTAACTCGGTAACCAGGGTTACAGGTGCGAGGCGTTCGGGCCCATCGACGGGTGGTACATCGACGGCTACGAGAAGGCGAACACAGCGGCGCGCATCATGATCACCACGGACGCTGCCACGTACGTCTGCTGCCGCCCCGCCGCCAAGCAGAAGAAAGACTTCACTTCGCTGCAGGTAAACGATTCACTGAGCTCCAGGTACTGTGGGTGGATGGGGAACGTGAGTGTGGTGTGGGGGGCAGTTCAGAGACGCCAAAAAAAACGTTCTTATCAAAACATGTTATTCTCGAAAATGCTATCTTCACCACGCTCCAGGAGACTTTCACACTTTCCTTCCCACGTTCCTCATCTACTTCAGACGCTCCTCCCCATTCCCGCCCATCCAATCAGGACAAGGCCAATCTGTGTGCGTGGAAGTCTTCAGGACGCTGTCCAAGACAGACGGGGGCGAGCCCATCCTCTCCCTCGCAGAGATGGTGGCACGCATATCGAGCGCGCTGGAGCGGCCCTGCAGGGACGAGCTGGCGGGCCATGTTTCGATAGCTTCACGCGTTCCTCCCCACTTCCCACCCGCTCCTAACAGGACAAGGCCAATCTGTGCGTGGAGGTCTACAGGGCGCTGTCCAAGCCAGACGGGGGGGACCCTACCATTTCCCTGCCAGAAGTGGTGGCGCGCGTGTCAAGGGCGCTGGGGCGGCCGTGCAGGGACGACCTGGTGGTCCGTGCCTCAATAGCTTCTCACGTTCCCTCCACCCCCACCTCCCCCCGCTCCAAACAGGACAAGGCCAATTTGTGCGTGGAGGTTTATCGAGCCCTTTCCAAGCCGGACGGGGGCGACCCTACCATTTCCTTGCCAGAGGTGGTGGCGCGCGTGTCCAGGGCGCTGGGGCGGCCGTGCAGGGACGAGCTGGTGGCGGCGCACGCGTTTGTGTTGCAGCAGCTGTGCGGGCTGGACAAGGACGCGGATGAAGACGACCAGCTCTTCTCGGGACTGCCTGCACTTGAGTGAGTTTGTGTGTCTGCATGCCTGTGCCACGTTTGCTGTGGGGATGTTGGTTTGCTGGGTTAACTTAGTGGGTAGCAGCTGGTGGGCGCGCACGCGTTTGTGGCACAGCAGCTGTGCGGGCTGGGCGAGGACGCGGATACTCACGCAACTCACCTACTCCCCTCTTTCCCATACTATTCTTTTCCCACTTTTCGCTTCACCCGGATAGGTCGTTGAAAGAGGAGGGAGCGAAGCACGCAGCCGTCCGGAGCATCGTGGAAGCCAGGTAGCACACCTCTCTCCCCTAATATCCGAATCGTTTCTTCCCTTCCATCACCCCCGCCCCCAAAGGTCGTTGAAAGAGGAGGGAGCGAAGCACGCAGCCGTCCGGAGCATCGTGGAGGCCAGGCAAGCCAGCGCCAAGGAACACACGGGCAAGAAACCAGCTGCTACAAACGGAGCCCTCGTTATAAGAGACACTGCTGGCGGCAGTGGCAGCAGCAGCAGGGCCGGCGGGGGAACAGGTGTGGGTATAGACGATGAGGAGTTGGCTAGGCTGGTGGCGGAAGAGGAGGAGAAGGAAGCAGAGGCGAAGAGGGGAGGCGGGCGGAGGAAGGGGGCTAGAGGCGGAGGTGGGCAGGAGAGGTATTTGAAGATCAATGAGAAGGAGCTGGCAGATGACTACCCGCCCCCCAGATACTACAAGGTATGCTGGATGATGCGTGGGGAAGGGAACAGCCGCGAGCAGCAACTGGGTGCTGGACGAGGACCAGCTGCGCTTCATGCCGCTCCAGCTGTTGCTCATGCTGCCCATGCTGCCCCCTTTATTGGTCTCTGCTGACCCCTGCCTGCCTCTTTCACCTTTTTCTCCTGTTTACTCCGTCTGCCGCTATTGCACCCGGCGACCTGCCATGCCGCTGTCTGGACGACTAGGCTCTCTACGAGGACCAGCTGCTCTTCGTGCCGCTCCAGCTGCTGCCCATGCTGCCCATGTTGCCCCCTGCTCTGTCGCCACCCTCCTCACCGCTGTGCCCTCCTCACCGCTGTGCCCTCCTCACCGCTGTGCCCTCCTCACCGCTGTGCCCTCCTCACCGCTGTGCCCTCCTTACCGCTGTGCCCTCCTCACCGCTGTGCCCTCCTCACCGCTGTGCCCTCCTCACCGCTGTGCCCTCCTCACCGCTGTGCCCTCCTCTTCTCTCCCACTTCCACCCCCCGTTCCCCCAATGCGCTGCCCTCACGCCACCCACCTCAGAGCGTGGACGAGTTCCTTCTGTTCGACGATGCCACGGCTCCACTTTACACCGAGGACCTCCCTCGCCGCCGCCTGGACGACTGGGCTCTCTACGACGATCAGCTGCGCTTCGTGCCACTCGAGCTGCTGCCCATGCTGGCCCTCCCATGATCGCTCTGCCCCCTCCTCACCGCTGTGCCCTCCTCTTGTCACAACCCATCCCCCATTCCCCCGAACCCTCCCCTCCTTTCCTCCTCTCTGCCGCCCTCATACCACCCACCTCAGAGCGTGGACGAGGAAACAGACGAGTTCCTCTTATTTGACGACGCTGCCGCTCCGTTGCACCCCGACGACCTCCCTCGGCGCCGCCTGGACGACTGGGCTCTCTACGACGATCAGCTGCGCTTCGTGCCTCTCGAGTTGCTGCCCATGCTGCCGGGAGTGGCCGCCGACTCCCTCGTGTTCGGCTCTGGCGTTATGATGGAGGACGATGGCAGCGGGTTTAGCCTGGACGATCCTACTGTCGAATCCGCTGGTACTACTCGCGGTGACGGCGGTGGTGCTGGTGGTTCTTCAGGTGGTGCTGGTGCTTCAGGGAGTGGTTCAGGTGCTTCAGGGAGTGGATCCGGGTCGGGGTCTGATCCTGCAGCAGCAGATGGTGGTGGTGGTGGTATCCGGGTGTACCTGAGCGCGATTAAGGAGTGGATGATCGAATTTGGGGCTGGGATGCTTTTCGTGACCATTCGAACGGATGGGGCATGGTACAGGCTTGGCCGCCCCTGTGCCGCCTATGTCCCCTGGTACCGCCCAGTTCTGCGCACAGCCAGGCTGGCAATCCGAGTCATCGAGATGCTGAGTGGCGAGTCCCGGGCGGCACGTTTGTCTTTTCTGGACGTGGTGACGAAGCTGGCGCAGGAGCGGGTGGCGGAGAAGCAGCAGAAGAGCGGAAAGGCGCCGGCGCGTGGGGACTTAGCTAAGTGTTTCGCTGAGATGGAGCGGTTTTTAGTGGTGCACGGGAATATTATTCTGCAGCAGTTTAGGGAGTACCCAGTAGAAACGATCCGGAGGAGCCCCTTTATAAGCACGCTGCGAGAAAAGATGGAGACGCGGTCGCATACAGAGCTAAAAGTTAGTAAGAAAAAGGCGGCTATGATTGTCGCAAACAGAGGTAGCAATGGGCGTGGTGGGGGTGACGGTGGGAGTGCGAGAAACGCCAATCCTGCTGCGGCTTTGAGGCCAGATGCTAGTAAGAGGAAGCCTATGCGTGCGACCACGACTCAGCTGGTCCACAGGATCTGGAAGGAGTACTATGAACGGTTCGGATTGAAGCGGGATGAGGTGGGGGCGGGTAAAGGGGGAGGTGAGGGAGAGGAGAATGGGAAGGTGGAGGGAGAGGAGGTGGAGGAGGAGGAAGAGGAAGGAGGGGAGTTGAAGGATGGGGATAGTGAGGATGAGGAGGAGGTGGTGGAGGAGGTAGCTAGTGCGAGGCAAGCCAAGGGGAGTAAAACGAAGGGGGTTAATACAAAGTGCGCGGAAGCAGATAAGGAGGCTGGTGTGACCGATAAGGGAAAAGCAGCTGCTGGTGGGACTGAGACGGAGAAGGCGAAGGAAGCTGCTGCAGGTGGGAGCAAAGCTGGTGGAAACAAGGCGAAAGCAGTAAAGGACTCCACTCAGGGCGTGACATGGATTGGCACAAGCACTGGCCGCACAGAGGAGGACCATCCTGCATACGCCTCAGCCTCAGTGTGGGGGCTGGAGGTCAGGGCAGGGATCGTGGTGCTTGCAGCTGTGGCGGAGGGCGAGCATGACGAGCACGAGGGGCGGTGGAGGGAGGAAGAGGAGAAACTGGTGCTTGTGGAGTATATGTGGGATGAGGGGGGCGTGGGGGGTGGGGCGGGGAGGAGGAGGAGGGGCGAGGGGATGAAGGCGCATGGGCGGGTGATGGTGAGGGGGAGTGAGACGGTTCTGGGGAATGCGGCGGATGAGTGGGAGCTGTTTGTGTCTGAGCACTGCGTTGACTTCCCCCTCACTGCCATCCGGTAAGCTGCCTGGAAGTGGGCTAAGTTGCCAGCAAATGCGGTAAGGTGCAGGTATTGAGTATGGAGTATCAAATGCGGTGGACGAGTGGGAGCTGTTGACTTCCCCCTTACTGCCATCCGGTAAGGCTTACCCAAGAATTTGAGGTCTCGTTATGTTGTCCTTCACTTCACGCCCTCAAAGTCCACCAGTTTCCTGTCTTCATGCCCGTGTGTGTTTCGGCATTTGCAAAGTGTATCTCTCAGTTGGCCCATTAGCAGACCTGTCCCAGTGCTGTTCCCGTGCAGCTCTGTTTGTTAATTTCCCAGTGAACTTGCATCAGTGACGCATTTTGAGTCAACTCAAATCCCAACCCGTTTACATGCTCGTTCTGTTCGATTCTGTTGAATTGCCCAGTGAGCTTGCAGCAGTGACGCATCGCAAGCAGCCTTGGGGGGCGGAGCACAGGCTGAGGAACATGGAGGAGCATGAGAGGGAGAGGGAGCGAATGGAGAAACTCTTTAAAAAGACCGCATTCAGATGCGCTTCCTTCGCAATTCTGTTTTTTTCCTTCTTCTTTGCTCACAATCTCCCAGTGAGCTCGCAGCGGTGACGCATCGCAAGCAGCCATGGGGGGCGGAGCACAGGCTGAATGAAGAACATGGAGGAGCAAGAGTGGGAGAGGGAGCGAATAGAGAAGCTTTTCAAGGAGACCGGATTCACGTGCTCTTCCTTCGTGCGTGCGTGTGTGTGTGTGTGTGTGTGTGTGTGTGTGTGTGTGTGTGTGTGTGTGTGTGTGTGTGTGTGTGTTTCACAATCTCCCAGTGAGCTGGCATCAGTGACGCATCGCAAGCAGCCATGGGGAGCGGAACATAGGCTCAGGAACATGGAGGAACACGAGAGGGAGAGGGAGCGAATGGCGAAGCTTTTCAACGAGACGGGGCAGCGCTCCTTCTTCTACCGCCTCCTCTACAACCCCTCCCGTGGCGGCTTTTTCGACCTGCCCAAGAGCCTGGGCAGCGGAACAGGCAGGTGTTGCTCGTGTGATGAGGATGCAGAGAGGGATAGGATGATGGAAGTGCGGAGGCTTGGAGGCGGGAAGGCAGGGGAAGAGGAGAAGGTGGAGGAGGGATTCGCTTACTTAGGGAAGGAGTTTCGGGTGCAGGACTTCGTGTTTTTGCATCCGGCAGCAGTGGGGGAGGAGAGCGAGGGGAAGAAGGTTAAGATAGCGAAAGGAGGGCGGAACATTGGACTGCGCGCATGGCCTATCGGGCAGATAGAAAGGTTTGTAGCTCCGACCGGCGGGGCGAAGGAGGTGCCCGAAAAGATGGTGGTGAGGAGGTTTTTCCGCCCTGAAGATGTGCCGAATGAGGGTGATGAGATCGCGTATACGGCACACATCCGAGAGGTGAGTACTTACCGCTTTTATTCTAAGACATGAAACAGTAAAGCAATGTCGGGCATCCACTTTTTTTTTCTTTCTTTCTTTCTTTTTTTCTGCTCGTTATATTTATCTCTATGGACAAGCTATGCAGCAACAACAACATATAAATCAATGCGCCCCACAACAGGTGTACTACAGTGAAACCCTAATCACTGTAGACGTGACAGACGTGATCGGCAAGTGCCGCGTGCAGCGCGGCAAGCCCACAGCAGCAGCAGCAGCGGCAGGGGCAGAGGCGGATCACTTGGGCTTTAACATCGGGGGGTGCCTGGAGGAGGAGCTGATGGGCGGCGACTTTGTCTTTTTCTGCGATCGCCTCCTGAAAGATGGCTCTGTCCGAATGGTACAAAGCCCCCTCCCCTCTGTTATCAGCTGCATTTCGAGACGTCTCAAAAGCTGCATTTCTATGATATTTCTCACAAATCGACGGGGTACCCTGCTCTGGTGTCGTGTCGCTTGGTTGTAAGGATATTTCCAGAGCCCATTTGTGCTTCGTCCTCTGCTCTGCTGTAGCACTGTTCCTCTATCTACATGTGTCTGCATGTACCTCCCTTGTCTCCAGTTACGACTGTGGATGCATGCATGGCATCCCAAAAAAAGAAAAACTGTTACTCTATCTAACTTTGCCTCTGTAGCTTCGTCTCTGTCTGGCCAACACGTGCAATTGGAGGTATCAGATGGTCTTCTTGGTCAGCATGTCTCTCTCTGCCCCACTCTTCTGACCCTTCCGCTTCCTTTTCCCACTTCCTTTTCAATCACTCCTGCAGTTGCCCCCTGGGATTCGTTTCGGCCCTTCCTCAGCAGCATCAGCATCACCAGTCAAGGAGAAGGGCAAGGGCAAAGGCAAGAGTGTTGCTACTGACGACGATGCTGATGCAGAAGCAGCAGAGGCAGCAGCAGCAGCTAGAGCCCGGGCGAAAGGCAAGGGGAAAGCAGCTGCGGAGGAGCCAGAGGAACCCACCAGCAAGGCTGCAACTGGGGCGAAGCAGCAACGGGGGAAGCAGAGAGATCTGGAAAATCAGGAGAATGCAGAGAATCAGGAGGAAGGGCAGCAAGGGTTGGGAAAAAGCAGCAAGGGTGGCGCTGGTGTGCTGCGAACTTTGGATATATTTGCAGGGTGTGGCGGGCTGTCGGAGGGGCTGCAGCGGTCGGGCGCGTGTGAGACGCAGTGGGCCATCGAGTACGAGCACCCGGCTGCTGAGGCGTTTCAGAAGAACCACCCCGACGCTGCTGTCATCTGCGCCAACTGCAACGTCGTGCTCAGGTAGGTGGTGCTCGGGTAGGTGGTGCTCGGGTAGGTGGTGCTCGGGTAGGTGTGAGTGTTAGTGTCACTTGGCCGGTTGAGTGCTGGTGGGCGGGTGTGCTGCTGTGCTGAGGCGTTTCAACTGCAACGTTGTGCTCAGGTGCTGGTGATCAACCGGTTGAGTGCCGGTTGAGTGCTGGTGTGCTGCTGTGCTGAGGCGTTTCAACTGCAACGTTATGGGGTTGCACCACATAACCCCTGAGCACCACATAACCCTGATGCTGCTGCCAGCTGCTCCAACTGCAACGTTGTGCTCAGGTGAGCAGGCAGGGTTATGTGGTGCTCAGGGGTCGTCGTCACTCATGGTCGGAAGGGCAGCAGCACTAGAGAAAAGCTTCCGACCATGTGGTGCACTAGTGCTGCTGCCCTTCCGACCATGAGTGACGGTGCTCAGGTGAGCAGGCAGGGTTATGTGGTGCTCAGGTAGGTGTTATGTGGTGCTCAGGTAGGTGTTATGTGGTGCTCAGGTAGGTGTTATGTGGTGCTCAGGCAGGGTTATGTGGTGCTCAGGTAGGTGTTATGTGGTGCTCAGGTAGGTGTTATGTGGTGCTCAGGTAGGTGTTATGTGGTGCTCAGGTAGGTGTTATGTGGTGCTCAGGTAGGTGTTAGTGCAGTGGCACTTGGCCGGTTCAGTGCTGCTGGTGGGTGGGTGTGCTGCTGAGGCATTTCAGAAGAACAAACCCGACGCTGCTGTGTGGATTTTACTTTTGAGAATTCTCAAAAGTAAAATCCACGCTGCTGTCATCTGCGCCAACTGCAACGTCATGCTTAGGTAAGCGGTGCTAAGTGGTGCTTAGGTAAGCGGGGTAAGGGGGAATATGAAGATGGCATAAGGGGGCAGTAGCAACACCATGCCATCCATTCCCTGTCCCTCCGTTTGCCCTCCTTACTCCCTCCCTTCAGGTGTATGATGGAGCAAGTAGGGCAGCTGGGCGGCTGTATCTCAACTCAGAATCCACCTTACCACCACCACTCCCTTTCCCCTCTCTTCCAATCGCCTCTCCTCCTTGTTCATTCGAGTGCATGATGGAGCAGCAGGCGGGGCAGCTGGGCAGCTGTGCGTCAACTCAAAGTCCACCTTATTACCACCACCACTCTCTTTCCCCTCTTCACTCTCCCAATCGCCTCTCCTTATTCACTCAGGAGCATGATGGAGCAAGCAGGGCAGTTGGGCGACTGTATGTCAACACCAGAGGCGGACGAGGCAGCAGCAAAGACGGCCAAGAGAGACAGGAAAGCAGCCTTTCCACACCCCTCCTCCCATTCCCCCTTCCGCCATCCCCCGTGTCCCCTCCTTAGGAGCATGATGGAGCAAGCAGGGCAGCTGGGCGACTGTGTGTCAACGCCAGAAGCGGACGAGGCAGCAGCAAAGATGGCCGAGGCTGAAAAGGGCAAGCTGCCGCTGCCCGGCCAAGTGGACTTTGTCAATGGGGGCCCACCCTGCCAGGTAAGCGGGTTTCAAGTGGCGCTTACAGCCTTACACCACCTGAACTAGAGGTGAGAGCGGGAAAGATGGCCGAGGTGGAGAGGGGCAAGCTGCCGCTGCCCAGCCAATTGGATTTCGTGAATTTGGGCCCGCCCTGCCAGGTACAGGGCTCGTGGTGGCACTTTCTCTGGTGTGGTGAGTGGTGAGAGGATGGCCGGAGATGGTGAGGAAGAGAGGAGCAAGCTGCTTCTGTTCTGCCGTCAATGTACCCACCCTGTTTCGCTCTGGCATGAAGCGGTTCAACCAGAACCCCTGCAGCAAGTTCCAGTGCGAGATGATTCTCGCCTTCTCGCGCCCCATCTCTTCGACTGGTTTTCTTTCCCTCATCCTCTTTTTGCCTCATCCTCTCTTTCAGGGTTTCTCCGGCATGAACCGGTTCAACTGGAGCAAGGCGCAGTGCTAGATGCTCCTCATCCCCTTAACCTTCATCCCTTCTCCTTGTCGTCTCCACTGCTTTCGCCTGGACCCCCTTGTATGTCCCCCTTTCAGGGAGGTGCATTTTGAGGCGCCTCAAAATACTCCTTTTGCCTGGACCCCCTTGTATGTCATGTCCCCCTTTCAGGGTTTCTCCGGCATGAACCGGTTCAACCAGAACCCATGGAGCAAGGTGCAGTGCGAGATGATCCTCGCATTCCTCTCCTTCGCGGATTTCCTCCGCCCCAATTACTTCCTCCTCGAGAACGTGCGCAACTTTGTCTCCTTCAATGGGGCGCGTACTTTCCGCCTCGCCTTGAGGACACTGCTCGCCATGGGCTACCAGGTAGGCAGTAAAGCATACATTAAGTGCTAACATCACTGCACCATCACACCGCGCCTGCCTCTCCTTCGCTGACTTCCTCCTCGAGAACGTGCGCAACTTCGTCTCCTTCAATGGGGCACGGACTTTCCGCCTCGCCTTACGGACGCTACTTGCTATGGGTTACCAGGTACGCAATACAGCACACACCTCAGTTGCTAACACCACACCATCACCATCACAACACCACCATCACACCTCGTGTTCCTCTCCTTCGCCGACTTCCTCTGCCCCGAATACCTCCTGCCCCGCACCTTCCGCCTCGCTCTGAGGACTCTCCTTGCCATGGGCTACCAGGAAAGCAGCAGCAGCGCTGGTATGCAGCAGCACAAGCATGCCATGTCACAGATACGCACACTTGCAGGCCAAACCCTCCCTGCAGTTGGGAAGTCTCGAAATATTGTATTTTCCCTTCAGGATTCCCCGCCCTCTTTCGAGGTCCGCTTCGGGCTCATGCAAGCACCTGCAAGCAGGCAACTTTGGCATTTCGCAGTCGCGCACGCGGGCGTTCATCTGGGCAGCAGCGCCGATCCACGTCCTCCCACAATGTTATTTAGAGTCTCAGATTCCCCCAACCCCCCCTCCCATCCTCCAGGTCCGCTTCGGGGTCCTGCAAGCAGGTAACTTCGGCATATCTCAGTCGCGCACGAGGGCCTTCATCTGGGCAGCAGCGCCGGGCCATGTGCTCCCCGAGTGGCCCCAGCCTCTGCACGTCTTCGCCTCCTCCCAGCTCTCCGTCCCCCTCACCACCTCCGCTGCTGCTGCTGCTGGCGCTGCTGTTGGTCAGTTCAGCACGGCGAGCTCGCTGGCCAATGAGGCGTGTCCACGTGGCCCTGCGATGGGGGCGCCGCTGCGGTCGATCACGGTGCGGGATGCGATGGGGGACCTGCCGAGCATTGAGAATGGGGCGGAGGAGGAAGAAATGGAGGTGAGAGTCTGGTGGGCATGCCTCTGATTGGTGTGGGTATGGTGGGGAATGGGGGTTGTGCCACGGATTGAGAATGGGGCAGAAAAGGAGGGCATGGAGGAAAATACCTATTTAAGCAACTAACTCAACGATGTTCCAGAACGCAAGCCGAGCTCTCCTTCTCACCCAGACCACACGTGCAAGCACATGCATGAACTCAACCTCAAGCGTTGTCCTCGCTCTCCCTTCGCTCCCCTCCCCGCGCCTCCCACCCCTCACTCCTTCTCTCCACAGTACTCCTCCGAGCCCTCTTCTTGGTTCCAGCGCTGCATCCGCGCGCAGAAGGCCAAGCTGCTGGACCACACGTGCAAGAAAATGAGTGAGCTCAACCTCAAACGCTGCCCATGCTCTCCCTTCCCTCCTCCCCTCTCCTTCCCACCCCCCCACTGTTTCCCTCCCGCAGTACTCCTCCGAGCCCTCCTCCTGGTTCCAACGCTGCATTCGATCCCAGCAAGCCAAGCTGCTGGACCACACGTGCAAGCGCATGAACGAACTCAACCTCAAACGCTGCTAATGATGTCCCTTGCACTGCCAACGCTCTCCCTTCTCTCCCCCTCCCCACTCGTTCCCTCTTGCAGTATTCCTCCGAGCCATCCTCCTGGTTCCAACGGTGCATTCGATCCCAACAGGCCAGGCTGCTGGACCACACGTGCAAGAAAATGAATGAGCTCAATCTGAAGCGCTGCCAACACATCCCCAGGCGCCCGGGCGCGGACTGGCGGGACCTGCCGGATATCAAGGTGAGGATATAGAGGGGAGCTGACAGATATCAAGGTATGGTTATGAAGGACTTATACGAACCTCCTCCTTCCTTACCCTCTCCCTTCAGCTCTCTCTTTGGCTCTCCTTGGCTCTCTTGTTTCCCGGATTGGCTCTCCTTGTGATAAGCTCTCACAATAGGACTAAAATAGCCCCTCTAGGGAGTTCTTGATAGCGCTTTCAAGGTTCCTTTTGTGCCCTCAGTCACCTTCCCTTCCCCTTTCCGTCCCTCCCTTTCACACCACAGGTGCCGCTACCCGATGGGCGTGAGGCGGATCTAGTCCCCTGGTGCCTGCCCAACACCATGCAGCGCCACAACAACTGGAAGGGGCTGTTTGAGCCCCTTGTGCCAGCCAAGAACCATGGACTCTTTTCACAACCCCAAACCTACTTTCTTCCCTTCCTCTGCCACCAGGTGCGGCTGTCGGATGGTCGTGAGGCGGATCTCGTGCCCTGGTGCCTGCCCAACACCATGCAGCGCCACAACAACTGGAAGGGGCTGTTTGGGCGGCTGGACTGGGCGGGCAACTGTTTTTCTTACTCCCAACCCGCCGTCCCTGCTTCATTTCTCCCTTTCCTACCACAGGTCCGATTGTCTGATGGGCGTGAGGCGGATCTCGTGCCCTGGTGCCTACCCAACACCATGCAGCGCCACAACAACTGGAAGGGGCTGTTTGGGCGGCTGGACTGGGCGGGCAACTTCCCCACGTCTGTGACGGACCCCCAGCCCATGGGGAAAGTGGGCATGTGCTTTCACCCTGAGCAGGATCGAATAGTCAGCGTGCGAGAGTGTGCAAGATCTCAGGTACGAGAGGGGCTTTGTGCGGGTGTGGGAACCTCAGGTTATGGGTGAGCGGGTTTCTTTCTTCCCCACGTCTGTGACGGACCCCCAGCCCATGGGGAAAGTGGGCGTGTGCTTTCACCCTGAGCAGGACCGTATAGTCAGCGTGCGGGAATGTGCGAGATCTCAGGTACGAAACAGAACATCTCGTATCCAAGGTTGCCAGTACGGGAGCGGCTGGACTGGGCGGGCAACTTCCCCACGTCTGTGACGGACCCCCAGCCCATGGGGAAAGTGGGCGTGTGCTTTCACCCTGAGCAGGACCGTATTGTCAGCGTCAGGGAGTGTGCTAGATCCCAGGTATGCAAAGAGAGGGAGTGTTTGTGCTCGTGAGAATTGCAGGGATGCAGGCCAATCATTGAAGGCATTATCCTCACTCCCAATGCCCCCAATCCCGATTGACCTTGTGTTCACAATCCCTCCACCAGCCCCTCGACCCTTCAGGGCTTTCCTACTGGTACCACTTCTCTGGCAACATTCAGGCCAGGCACTGCCATCTATGCTAATGCTGTCCCACCCTCTTTGTCTTCCCACTGTCCAAAAAATCCTTCAAGGCTTTCGCGACTGGTACCACTTCTCTGGCAACATTCAGTCTAAGCATCGTCAGATCGGCAACGCTGTCCCAATTACCTTGACAAGCACAATGCCCATTTTTTCACCCCCTTGTTCCCAAAACCTTTCAGGGCTTCCCCGACTGGTACCGCTTCGCTGGCAACATCCGGCCAACCATCGTCAGATATGACCAACGCTGCCCCCCTCCTTCATGTTCCCATCAGCCTTTGTGTTTCCTCCTCGTGTGTCAACCTTTATGCTTTCAGGGCTTCCCCGACTGGTACCGCTTCGCTGGCAACATACAAGCCAAGCATCGCCAGATCGGCAACGCTGTCCCTCCACCGCTGGCCCTGGCTCTGGGCCTGCAGCTCAGGAAAGCTCTTTTGGAGACGAGGAAGATGGATGGAGCAGAGGAAGAGGGGAAGAGTAACGTTTAGGCGAAGCAATGGAATGTAAAGGATACGTAATCGCTGAGAAAGTCTCTACAGGAGAAGGGAAGGAAGGATGGATGGAGCACAGTTGGAGGGAGAGAGCAACAAGGCAAAATGATGCTGTGTAAGAAGTGTTATGCTAGGCAGTCTCTTTTTGTTTCTGTCACCATATATTGATGTACTACAAGGGCAAGTGTGTGTGGACATACCCTGCTCACTACCCTTTTGTGGCTTTAAGTAGTGTTTTGCCTGACTGTAGTAGTTATGAATGATGGAAGCATCTCACATACTGGCACGAGTAGTTTTTGCCCAAGATATTGCCTATGCTGCCTAAAACCACTTGCTAGTTACCCCTACATGGAGCTCGCATGCATGCGTAGCCTGATATTCCAGAGGTTTCTTCAGACACCGGAGCAGCCTGCTCAACTCGCGATCAGCACACTCAAGCTACCTGTCATGGTGACCCTGAGCAACATTGAAGTCCCTTTCAAAACAGTGGCAGCGGTTGTTGCAGGTGGCCTGTCTGCCTGTTTGTGTGCCTGCACCATTTTTCACAATCCCTTCACTACTCCCTCTTCACATGACCCACCGGCCTCTGCCTGTCTGCCCGCCTGCCCGCCTGCCCGCCTGCCCGCCTGCCTGCCTGCCTGCCTGCCTGCCTGCCCGCCTGCCACACTGGTCATGGTGGGTATTGGAGTGGAAACTGCAATGCGCATCACACGCAGTCACAACACAACAGAGACTGCAGCCACACAAGTGCCATCTCCCATCTGCACAACACTCCACCTGCCTCTGCGTTGCCCTCACCTCATGCACTTGCCTCGGCAAACACCCATGCATCTGTGAAGCTTCACACCTGCACTGACACTCTGTGACTCTCTCTCTTTGAGGCCCTAATCCTCTGCAAACACCCATGCATCTGTGAAGCTTCACAGCTGCACTGCCACTCTGTGACTCTGTCTCTCTCTGAGGCCCTAATCCTCTGCAAACACCCATGCATCTGTGAAGCTACACAGCTGCACTGACACTCTGTGACTCTGTCTCTCTGAGGCCCCAATCCTCTGCAAACCCCCATGCATCGCCAGTACCCTACACACCTGCCAATCTCTTCCTCTCCTCAGGAATAACCGACCTTGGAGGTGCCCGAAGAAAGCACGTCTCTGCAAAACCTCATAAACTTTTGAGTCGACTCAAAAGTCAACCTTGGATGCGCCCGAAGAAAACACGTTTCTGCAAAACCTCATGAACCTGTAAAGCTTCACGCCTCTGTCTATCTCTTCCTCTCCTCCTCAGGGATAACCGACCATTGGGGCGCCTCAAAACACGTATCTGCAAACTCCCTTGCACCTGTAAAGCTTCATGCATCTGTCAATCTCTTCCTCTCCTCCTCAGGGATAACCGACCAATTCGGCGACGGCACCGCACGCAGCCAACCAAAATCGTCCACGTGGGCCCACAACCCTCCATCCACCGCCAGGTCAGCATCCTTCAAATCCGCCTCCAACCCATCATACTCCAGACTATACGGCGCGAACCTGACACCTTTAGAATGCTCTATAAGCGGCCTGCTGCGCGTGCGAACATAGAAATCGGCGCGCTCTGTCTGGTGTATCCTCAGCTGATGACTCGCGACGGCTACAGTGCTGCCTGACGCGTCCTCCACGTGGCAGGCTCCTGACACCGGGCAGAGGCTGACGTGGCAGTCGCGCACGTGGCGGAGGAAGACGGCAGAGAGGACGCCTCGGACGGACACGTGGCAGTGGGAGAGGTGCTGCAGCGTGAGCTCGCCGCGTCTGTGCTGCTCCGGCGAGATTTGGATGTGCTTGTGGGAGCGGTGGGAGATGGAGAGAGACGGGTGCGCGGAGCTGATTGGTGCGATGGCGGATGTTCCGGATTCCTCTGCTGCTCCTGCTGCCCCGGATGCTCCGCCTGCTGCGGATGCTGCTGTTTCTGCCGCTGCTTCTCCTCGCGCTGCTGCCGCTGCTGCTGCCGACACTGCGGCTTTTGGTGCCACTGTTGGCTCAACGGCGGGCGACGATGGAACCATTCCCGCTCTCCTCAGATCCACTTCCTGCTCCACCTGACACCCATGTGACTTTTGAGTCGACTCAAAAGTCTCAACGGCGGAGGACGATGGCACCAATCCCGCTCTCCTCGGATCCCCTTCCGGCTCCACCTGACACCCATCAACTACCTGTAGAGCCGAGAGAGGTTTAGGCTGCTCGAGAGGATTTTGAGAGGCCGAAGCGTCTTTATTTTCTGAAGATGTTTTCTTCTGCCCTCTTGAGGAGAAGGCGAATCTTTTTCTGGGCTTCGAGGCGGATCGGGCAGATTCTAGGTTGGCGCGAAGCGCAGCCACGCGTGACGTCATCTGCTCCACGTCTCGCCGCGGGACCGACGGCGCGAAGTGCGCTACCAGATCCTCCAGCGCGCGAAGCGCTGCCACCGCCGCTTGATCCGCGTTCAATGCAGACCGTTGATTGCTTCCTGCATCGTCCACCTGTTGTCTAATTTCCCCGCCGTTTATCCCCGACTGTGCAGATTCGGCAACGGAACCGGAATTTAAAGCTCGAATCGCCGCTTCCAGCGCGTCGCATTTCTCGCGAAAAGCTAGGAAGACGGACAGCTGGCCTTGCTCCTCGTCCATGTACGCGTGCGTGACGTGGCGAGCACAAGGCTGAAATGATTTCGTCGAGCGTAAAACGAAGGAAAAATCTTAGACAAGCCCGGGACGCAGAAGCACGTGCGACGCGGATGACAGAACGGCTTGATGGAGGAACAAGCAACCAGCGGCAATGAGAAAAGGTCCTCCTGGGCAGAGACTAGGACAGATCTGATGTAAGAGCGGTCTGAAACGGTTGGGTGAGATGTTGAGCGAAAATGAACATAGTGTGAACCCGCTGACCCTACGCTCCGACATAAGAAGCTCTTCCGCGTCGCAATATCGAAACACCAGACTTCCACAACCATCATACATACACTTCACAAGTTACGGTACCTTTTCTCATGCACGACAAACTGCGGTCATGAAAACTAATGAGGGTAATGTCGTTGATAGGGAGAGAAAAAAAAAATCTTCCACAGAGAAATGCTTGGCCTGTTCATGAAGAAACACGCATATATAGGTACCCATCATGACTTCTGATGTAAGAAACAGTCATGATTCATGACCTAATCGATGTATTGGTAAACAGGCACCCATCACTTGATGTATTGCTTTTGTTTCAGTACAAACTCTTAGTCATCCTGTGACACCCCAACGCGCTCCGCACGAGGAACTTTCAAGGAGATCTGGCAACGGTGGAGAGGGCTAGGTGCAGGGAGAGCAGCGCAGGATGGTCTCGGAGGGCAGATGCGATGGCAGCAGTGACACTCGTTTAAGCCAACTCAAAGGAAGCTTCTAGGGAAGGCCTTTGGAAACGGCGGTGAGGGCGAGATGCAGGTAGAGCAGCAGAGGATGGTCTCGGAGGGCAGATGCGATGGCAGCAGTGGCGGCCCGGAGAGAGGCCGCGAAGGCCGCGTGTGTGGATCTGGTGGGGTGGTGGGATGGGGAGAGGGTGATTTGGGGAGAGCAGGGAGATGGGGAGAGCAGGGAGATGGGGAGAGCAGGGAGATGGTGAAATGGTGACAGCAGCAGACAAGATGGAGAGAAGCGGGGATATGTTAATTCGCAAAGTCAACGTCTCCGTCAAGTCAAACCCCTCTTCAATCAGAGCATGAGACCCCTCATCAAAACTCTTCAATCAGAGCATGAGACCCCTCATCAAAACTCTTCAATCAGAGCATGAGACCCCTCATCAAAACTCTTCAATCAGAGCATGAGACCCCTCATCAAAACTCTTCAATCAGAGCATGAGACCCCTCATCAAAACTCTTCAATCAGAGCATGAGACCCCTCATCAAAACTCTTCAATCAGAGCATGAGACCCCTCATCAAAACTCTTCAATCAGAGCATGAGACCCCTCATCAAAACTCTTCAATCAGAGCATGAGACCCCTCATCAAAACTCTTCAATCAGAGCATGAGACCCCTCATCAAAACTCTTCAATCAGAGCATGAGACCCCTCATCAAAACTCTTCAATCAGAGCATGAGACCCCTCATCAAAACTCTTCAATCAGAGCATGGGACCCCTCATCAAAACTCTTCAATCAGAGCATGAGACCCCTCATCAAAACTCTTCAATCAGAGCATGAGACCCCTCATCAAAACTCTTCAATCAGAGCATGGGACCCCTCATCAAAACTCTTCAATCAGAGCATGAGACCCCTCATCAAAACTCTTCAATCAGAGCATGAGACCCCTCATCAAAACTCTTTTGAGATGTCTCAAAAATGTCACCACCAAACTCCTCTTCAATTCCCTCTCTTTACCCACCTCCCTCCCCATTCTCCGCCACTCCCCCTTTCCCCACACACACCTCCCTCCCCATTCTCCGCCACTCCCCCTTTCCCCACACACACCTCATCTCTTCAACAAACCCCTCCACTTCCAAACCCCGCTGCAGCTCCTCTGCCGCTAACTGCCGACGGAATGCCGCCCGCGCCGCCCGTCTCTTGGCATCTGACGTGGCATCACCGTAGGTATAATCAGACAGCTCGCCTCCACTGGTTCTACCCTCCACCCCATAACCTCCCCTTCCTCCTCCTCCCCATCCTCATCCTCCTGCTGCTGATGATGATGAAGATAACGAATCGAGGCCTGGGAGAGAGGAGGCTGTGTGGATGGTGGCGCTGACTGTGGTGGCGAAGCGAAGGGAGATGGAGAGGAGGGCAGATAGTTTCTGCAGAGAGGTGGGTGAGATGGAGGGAGAACGGGGGAAGAAAGTTGGGGGAACCACTTGGCAGTTGAGTGGGCAAACTACTTTTTGTAAGGAGAAAGCCGTGACCTTGTGCAGGCCCAGTACAGGAAAGGAGGGATCTACTTCTAGAAAGGAAAGATGGGCTGGTCCAGCCCCGTTACAAAATGAGTCAAGCTGGTTATTAAGAATCCTCAAAAACCATGTCTTTCTGGGAAGGAAGGACGACCTGGTCGACGCGCATCTCAAATCACAGAAAGAAAAATTAAGGTAGCTTGCTTTTGGGACTGTCAACAGGAGCAATGGTGGGATGACAGGAAGGGACGCCATTCCGTGAATGCACTGCGGCAAAATGGCCTAGCGACAACACTGTGCCACAAAAAAGAAGGCAGTGATAAGCTCCTAATTACATAACAAGCCTGCATAAGAGATTGGGAAGCGCATCAACTCGCCATGCTGAAGTGCATACTATGTTGGGGTTACTTTTGTGCTATAAGACACTTCACGAGCCCAATTGAGAATGGCACTCACCACGCTGTAGTGCATACTGAACGAGCATTGAAATCACCACTTTTGAGGCGCCTCAAAAGACGACTTTTGGGGCGCCTCAAAAGTCACTCACCACGCTGCAGTGCATACTGATCGAGCATTGAAATCACCACACAGGGAGGCAGGCGCCACACACCTAGTGGGCGTGAACGCAAACAGCAAAGACAGTATGCGCCATGATCCACACCATGCAGGCAGGCAGGTAGGCACAACACACCTCTCGAATGTGCGGGCAGGAATCCAAAAGCCCTTCTGAGAGACAGGTGTCAAGAAACGATTGGTGCTCCTGCACAAGCTGTGTGCGGGCGAGCGGACAGTAAAACACAGAAGGAAGAGTCTGTGACTATTTCCTACTGGAGGGACGGAGATTAGTGAACACTTCCCAATAGCAAAGAAAGGGTAAGGGACAACAAAAAAACTTCAAGACTTGAAAACAGAGAATATCTGATGTGATACTGCGAGCGAGGATGGGAGATCAGAATTATAAGAATGACCTGCTTCCAACCAATCTTGGCTGGTGACGCCTTGTCAATGCAATTAGAGAGGCGGAGGCAGAAAGCATGAAACCTGATTTTTTTTTTTTTTCAGACTTTTTTTTTGTGTAATTCTAAAAAAACGCTTGTCAGAGAGATTTGGGAGGAAGAGGTGGAAAAACATGAGGACAGATTGCTGATGTGGGAAACCCGCAAAGATGAAGTGATGAAGGAGGGAGATGATTATGTGCTCTTTTGCTCACGTGCTCATGCATTCATGTGCTCATGCATTCATGTGCTCATGCATTCATGTGCTCATGCATTCATGTGCTCATGCATTCATGTGCTCATGCATTCATGTGCTCATGCATTCATGTGCTCATGCATTCATGTGCTCATGCATTCATGTGCTCATGCATTCATGTGCTCATGCATTCATGTGCTCATGCATTCATGTGCTCATGCATTCATGTGCTCATGCATTCATGTGCTCATGCATTCATGTGCTCATGCATTCATGTGCTCATGCATTCATGTGCTCATGCATTCATGTGCTCATGCATTCATGTGCTCATGCATTCATGTGCTCATGCATTCATGTGCTCATGCATTCATGTGCTCATGCATTCATGTGCTCATGCATTCATGTGCTCATGCATTCATGTGCTCATGCATTCATGTGCTCATGCATTCATGTGCTCATGCATTCATGTGCTCATGCATTCATGTGCTCATGCATTCATGTGCTCATGCATTCATGTGCTCATGCATTCATGTGCTCATGCATTCATGTGCTCATGCATTCATGTGCTCATGCATTCATGTGCTCATGCATTCATGTGCTCATGCATTCATGTGCTCATGCATTCATGTGCTCATGCATTCATGTGCTCATGCATTCATGTGCTCATGCATTCATGTGCTCATGCATTCATGTGCTCATGCATTCATGTGCTCATGCATTCATGTGCTCATGCATTCATGTGCTCATGCATTCATGTGCTCATGCATTCATGTGCTCATGCATTCATGTGCTCATGCATTCATGTGCTCATGCATTCATGTGCTCATGCATTCATGTGCTCATGCATTCATGTGCTCATGCATTCATGTGCTCATGCATTCATGTGCTCATGCATTCATGTGCTCATGCAT